GGTGGCCAAGAATCAGCACAGGGACAATGCTTCTCAAACCTGACGGAGCATGAGGATTATTTGGGGATGGCTGAAAAAAAATACAGATATTCGGATTTCTCTCCTTAGGATTCTGATTCCCTGGGTATGGGATCCAGAGATCTGTTTAACAAGCACTCCAGGTTTTCCTTAGGGAAGGCATAGAAAATTCAAAGCGATTATAGAACCGCTTATCAGCATTGAATGAAGAAATGAAAGTGCAGAAGACAAAAATAAGAAGAGAAGCATGAGGAAAGAGGTAAAAAGAGGTTCGTAGAGTCGAGAACATACGTTGGATAGAACCAGGAATAAAGCTACACAGTAGAGATTTGACAGGGATCAGTCAGAGTCAAATGAACTAAACTTAGTATTGGAATCAGAAAATAATGTCTAAAGTTGGTAAGTAGGAACAAATCCTCTAACCTACAGGAAGAGGCGGGGCTCTCTGGAGAGACGTGGGAACTGTTGAACATGAACGATGAACGTGCATTGCTTTGTTTAAACAACATATGTGTAAAAAAAAAAATTGGCAACAACACCTTGGTTTCAAGTCTAAGGAAACAACCAGCTGAGCTTCAGACAGGGAGGTTCCAGCGTGAGACGTGTGGCTGATTCCCGCCGAGGCTCTGAGCAAGGGCCGTCTCTGACGGGCGCCTCAGCCCGACGTCCTGAAGACATGCCTGCTGTGTGCGTGCCTGTGGCTCGTGTGTGAAGGGGATTGGCCCTTCTCTCGGGAGCCCCGGGGTGGAGGTCCGTCTTAAATCCACCTGAGAGAATCTCATGCCCTCTGAAGGAGCACCGTGGCGCCCTCAGCACCGACCCCGGAAGACCGGGCTCTGCTCCCTCCGTTTGCTCCAGGCCAAGGCTGGCTCTCTGCTTGTCCAGAGGACCCTGAGCTCAAAGGGACCGAGGCAGCTGCCGCCTGCGGTCCTGCCCTGTCTCACCGTGCGCGGAGCTCATGTTTAGGACTCTCCTATTCACGCATCTAGCGCGTTGCCTTTTACATGCCAAACTGTATTTGCTTAACTTGAGGAAATTGAGAAAATTAAGTTTTGGAAGAATTGAGTGACTTTATCAAGCTCAGTAACTAGAAGTCAGGCCCCTGGCCTCTGAGTTTATGGCTCTTCTGCGACTTTATTGGTATATTGCCCATAAAAGCTCTATCATTATCTGAGATCTAAGGCCATATTTTATTTTTATTTCTCCAGAAATAATTTTTTTTATCCTTTGTTCCTTCATTTTTATGTTTTTATTTATGCTATTTCCTGATCCAAATCGCTCCTTACTAGGTGTGCTGTGTGTCAGACATTTGCCCGTTTCTGCTCTTTGTACCTTCCAATATGGCAGCTAGGAAACAGTGTAGACGGGTCTGCTGCATCGCCTTGGGTTGGAATGTGATGCTTGGATCACCCCTGCAGAGGGGGGCCTTGGCGCGCTTCTCCATCTCCCGCTGCAGCCGTCTGGGCCTCGTCCGGTCCTGCCCTTTCCTCAGACTCCAGTAGCACACTCTTGCATCGCAGCAAGTCTGCGGGGTGTGTCCCCAGGTGGTGGGAGCCCTGGAGCTTCGGGGACATTACCATCACATGGGTGTGCCAGAGCTGCCCTCTCCTCCCACTTAGAAGACCGGGACGTTGACTGCCACGTGGGTGTGCCGGAGCTGCCCTCTCCTCCCTCTTAGAAGGCGGCCCAGCCCGCCTGTTGAGGTTCCTCTGCTGCCTTGATTTTAATAATGAACTTCTCTGGTTTGTGCAGCTCCAGGATCGTCAGAGCTGCCATGATTGTTAATCTCCATCACAGTGGTAGGTCCCAAATGTGACAACTGAAGGAATCCACTGAAGGATGGTATTTTTCTAATCCTCAGAATTCTGCTGTATCTTTGTAACTCAAAGCAGAGAATAGAATCACAGATTGGGGATTGTTCTTTGGAACAAGAGCTTCCATTTACACATTAATATATATTTTTCTTAACCTCCTATTTTTTTTCGCTCCATGTTTATTTACAAAATTACAGGCAGTAAAATTCACTCTTTTTTGTGAACAGTTCTGAGTCTTGATAGAAATATAGATGCGTTTTAATACCATCACAGACAAGGTACAGAACAGTCCACCACTCCAAAAAGAGTTTCCTGTGGGCACTCTTGAGAGTCAACCCCACCCTCTATGCGCGACCCCCAGCAGCCACTGACCTGCCCTTACCCCTGTAGTTTTGCCTTTTCTAGAATCATCTAAGTGGAACAGCGTCTGGCTTCTCTTCACTTCACCTGCTGCATTTTAGATTATTCGTTTGTTGTGTATATCAATCGTTGTTCCTTTTTATCGTGGACTAGTATACTACTGAGTAAAACATCATCGTGTGGGCGTAACGGAATTTGTGTATCCATCTACCAGTTGGGCATTTGCTCCCAGTTTTTGGTGGTTTTGAATAACGCCACTGTAAACATTTGCTTAGAGCTTTTGGGGTGAACATGAGTTTCATTTCTCTTGGTTCAGTATTTAGTAGTGGGATTTCTGCGTCCCATGGTTAAGTTTATGAGAAACTGGGAAACTGCCACACTCTTTTCCGTGACTCTACCATTTTCAATTCCCACCACTATATTTTGTTTTAATAGAAAATATGTAAGTGGGACCCACTTAAATGTCTTTATTTATACAAAAGTAAATAATCATGAACAAACAGATAATTTTGTTTTTTGTGTTGTTGTGTTGGTTGTTGATGACTCTAAAGTCAGGCAGAGTTTGAAATTTGATGTGGTTGGCGAGAGAGAAGGCTGTTAAAGGGGCGTCCTTTCCAACTGATGAACAGGAGCTCTATCGATCGTGGCCAGAGTTTTATATACTTTGCTACCCGTGAGCCCTTCCGTCCCTGTGGACAGGTCCTTTGAGAGTCAGCTTGTTGTTAGGTGGGAAAGGAAAGTTCACGTTGACAGTTGGAAGGTAGCAGATGTTTGCTCAGCACGTGTTTGCTGGATGCCTGCTCGGTGCTCGGTGCCTTCTGGGCCCTGGGGTCCGGTGGGGAGCACAGCAGAGCAAACAGCAGCAGCAGCACGACTGCTCCCTTCCAGAACTTGGGTGGGCAGCGCTGAGGGAAACCCACTCAGCGTGAGACGGGGAGAGCAAGTGTTGGTGGAGTGGTGCCCTTGTTACGTGCTTCTAACTATATCGGGCTGACTCCGTGGCTTGTTTTTGTATGTTTGTTTAAATTAACTTTATTTTGGGGTAATTTTAGACTTGGCAAAGTTGCAAAGATAGTACAGAATTCCAGTATATCTCTACCAACTTTCCCCCAATGTTAAAATCTTCCGTTACCATTTGCAAGTTTATCAAACCTAAGAAACCAGCATGGGCACGTACTACTGACTGGCCTGCAGCTTTGTTTGGCTATCGCTAGTTTTCCACTAATGTCACTTTCCTCTTCCAGGATCCAGTTCAGGGTACCACGTCATGTTTCACTGGTCTCCTCCGGTCTGACAGTTTCTCAGTCTTTCCTTGTTTTTATGACCTTGAGACTTTTGAGGAGTATTGGGCAGGTATTTTGTATATGTCTCCTGGTTTGGGTGTGTCGGATGTCTTTCCCATGGGGAGGCTGGGCTGTGGGTTTTGGGGAAGAATGCGCAGAATGGAGTGCCCCACTCGTCACAGCACATCAGGAGGTGCCTGCTGTCCCGGCCTGTCCCTGGTGATGCTGACTGCATCACTGGGTGGGGTGCTGTTGTCCGGTCTCTCCGCTGCGGTGTGACTGCTCTGCCCTTTGCGTGTTCTGTTCTTTGGAAGCGAGTCACTAAGTCCAGTCCACACTTGGGGGACGTTGACAAAAATCGTTTGGAATCTTCTGTAAGGAAGATTTGTCTGCTCTCTCTTATTTCTTTATTATAAATCACTTATTTGTATTAGTAATACAAATTACTAATACATGTATATTCATTTTATACTTTAGACTCATGTATGTTCATTTTACACTTTGGGTTATAATCCAGTGCTCCATTATTTATTTTATTGCTCAACTTGTCCAGTCTTGGCCTTTGGGAGTTCTTTTTTTCTCCATTTCCTTTTGACATACCTCGAGCCTTTTGTTTTTTGAGCATCTGGTTGATTTCTGGGGTTAGGTCTTGTGTTTTCTTTGCCTCAGGCTTGGAATCAGCCCCTTCTTCAAGAAGCTCTCGATCTTTTGATTGGAGAATGGCATTTAGAAATCAAGATTCGGGGGCTGGGTGTACTCATTGCTATTGGGGTGCCAACTAGTCCTTGTTTTGTTAAAATATTTTTAAAGTCTAAATTTGAAGATTATGCCAAAGAAGTAGTAGGCCAGAAATAAGACACACCTTGAGTTAGGAATTACAAGGTGAAAATTTCTATGGCTGTATTAAACTCAGCTTTTGGAAGCAGATGCATTCCAATGAAAGTTCATGTTGGATCGTTGTATTTATTTAAATAATATATACTTTAAAAAGTGTTTAAAATACACATTTCAGTATGCAATTGAAGATAAGCGCGTGTCTGTTACTGCAGTTTTTGTTTTAAGCTTACTTTAATATTAGCATCCTTATCGCTTTGACTGGAAACAAACGATTTGTTTCTGTTCTTTCAGCTGGGCGGGACCTTCAGACCTCTGTTGGCTGGATTTGGGTGGAAACTGGAAATCCTGTTGTTAGGTTTCTCCTGGGGAAATTGGCATCAGTTTTAGTCACATCACTTATTAATGAGTCTTTCAAAAGTGAGACTTTTCATCTGTAGTGTTTTAGTCTATTTTAGGCACTCTCTGCTTTGGATGTTGTAAGCCACAGGGATGAGTAAATGATTTCAGCAGCAAATGTGGTTTCCTTGGTTTGTGTCTCTCTTTGGTGATCAGGTTGGAGCAAGTTTTAAGAGTTGAATTAAACTTTAAATCAAGAGTTAAAGTTAATTTTGAAAACCCTCTTTGAAGTTTGAAGGTGGACGAGGGTGCAGTTGCCCTGAAGAGCTTTAATCCGTCTTTCTCTTTGCAGAGGACGCTGCCGGCCAGTACGTCTCCCCCTTCCACGATATCCCTCTGAAGGTGGACTCCACAGAGGTACTGTTCTAACTGGTTTCGGGGATGAAAATACGCACTTCTAGTATCACCGTAAAATGCTTTTTGGAAGCGTCTTGAAAGGAAGGAATGTGGTCAGAAGTCAGGAGGGTTAGTGGAGTTGTTATAACAGGATTGCCAGCCTCCTTCATGAGTTAGAATTCGTGTGAGATTCTTCCAGAAGGACTTGGGGAGAAAGGGGCAAGTGGGCCATAAAGCTTACAGTTGGACAGGAAATAAAGATGGAAGGGTAGGAATTCAGGAGGTTAACAAGAGCCTTATTTTTAATAGTAATATCGTTCACATTTGTGGATTATTTTCTGTTTGCTAGGCACCATGTGAACATAAACCATTTTATTTAATCCTCTGAGTTGCTGTTCTCACCTCCAAGGACGCTGAAGCCTAAGGCATTCTGTGAACTTGTCTGGGGTCACCAGCTGGTGCATGTCCACGCCAGGTGTCAAGGTGGCGTTTCTGCCCACAGAGTGCATGCACCTCGACCACTCCATGAAACAGGTGCTGGACAAGTACAACTGGAAAGGTGGGGGCTTTGAAGAGCTGTTCTCTAGGACCTGAAGTTGATTGACAGACATGCAGGTGGGAAGGACGTGAGTGGAGTAGGGATCTGCTGCAGGGGGAGCTGGGGCTCAGCGTCACCGGGCCACGCGCGCTCTGCCGACTGGGTGGCGAGATGGCGTGACAGGTAGAGGGTGCTACTAATCCTCACCAGCTGGGAAGTCTTTCCTTAAAATCTGAGGCGTTAGTTGGTTTATTTCATTGCCGTGTCTTACAGGGCGCAGCTGTGAGGAAACTAACCAGGACTACATTCGGGGTCGAGACTGTATGGGGCTGGTTAGTGGGGCCGGGTTTTCTGGGACTGCAGGGAGATCCGTGTAGGGGCAGAGGCTGGTGAAGAGCTGCTCAGATGCTGGCGTGGCTTGGCTGTGGCGTCCCCTCAGGGCCATGTCAGGCGTCACACTGCGGGTACGGAGCGCTGAAGTGGGTCTGTGCTGCCCCCTGAGGACTGGACCATCAGTAGCGGTGGCCGTGGGGAGAATTATGAAGATCGTGACCACGCTCAGCACTCAAGCCGCATCCTCCCAGCCTGTCTCGGCCACGCTCATTACCTTCCTTTGTAAATGAGCTCAAGTTCCTGCCATGGTCACGGACCCAGTCTGTCGTGGAGGTGGGATCTGAACGGAGGTGCTGGCCATCCGAGCTCGTCCTCTTGGCTGCCCTGAGCAGTCCCTCCGGCTCACTGCTTGTGAGAAGTGTTCAGCTGCAGGACGGGGGCTGGAGTCCAGGGAGAGCAGCAAGCCAGAGAGGGGACAGGGAGGGCTCCACGTCACCATGACTGTGTGTCTGAGAGAGGAGAGTGTGTGTGTCCCCGTGTGTTTTGTTCTGGCCAGTGAACTGTCTAACCGAAATATCTTATCTCCCACCACCTCTCCTTGCTTCTGGCTGAAAGTACGTGCGTTCATTTATTCATTCTTCAATAATTTATTCACTCAGAAAAATCATTGCATGCTTATTGTGAGCTAGACAGTGTTCCAGGCACCAGGGCTGCAGCGGGGAGGAGGGTATATGGAGGTCCCACTAGTTGGAGGAGACAGACGAACAGAGAACAAACGAGTCAGTCCGAGGGTGGTGAGTGCTGTGACACCAGAGCGGAAGGAGCAGGGACTGGGGGCTGCTTCACGGCAAAATCCATGTGCCCGAGAGCAGCAATGATGATGTTTCTGGGAACCCTGTGGTAGGTTGGGGTGGAAGTGGGACATAGAGTGGGCTGTAAACATCCAGGGGGCCTCTGTTCTGCCTCAGGAGGAGGGAGGGGTGTGGGAGTATGAGATTTGGGGTTAGGCAGGATTGGGGACAGGGCAGGACGGAAGGTAGTGGGGTATGCTGCTGACTCCGGGCCAGTGGAGCTCGGTGCACACGGTGGTCGTGTGGGAGGTTCCCCTGTTCCCGTCCATGCCGATTAGAACTGTTGCACACTGTTCTCTGGGATGTGGCATTTTAGGAACAGGGCTGACCTGGAATAATAATGTTTTGTTTCCTTCGTTAGTAGTCGTTTTGGCGTGTAAAAGTTACCTACAGCATAATTTTTCCTCCACACCCGCTGCCTCCTTTGTTACAGTGAAGTGCTGATGGGGCGTGTCTGTGACACCATGGTGTTCCCAGGCGGGAGGTGCGAGTGTTCGTGGCTCGTTAGTCACGCTCCCTGGAGTTTGATTTCAGTCACGAAATGACTCTTTTAAGTGTAATCACTGGAAACCGCCAGTCTTTCCTTAAAGACTGAACAGAGCCTTTGCTTATTTTGTAAAAACTAGGAAAATACACTTGAAAGAGATGTAGCTTTTCTGATAACTTATTTATGAAATGCTCTGTTGCTCGTGCGCTGGGTGTGCAGACGCTGAGAGGAGACGCCGGGCGTCTGGATGGCGTCTGCAGTGGACGGTTCGTATGGGCATATTGTCACTGCCTTGCCCTGCAGCCATATTCCTTGTGAAATTATAGTCATAAAGACCATGTTTTCTTTTAAAGGAAAATGGCATTCCTACAAAGAGAGCACAAAGTGACGACTATGACGTATATCTGAAGGTTTTTACTTTTGCGAGGCACTTCATTGTCTGTTACAGACCGTGATGATAGCTTGCGTTTGGGAAGTGCTTCTGCGGTTTCCCCCCTGCAAGACCTCCTGTGCATTCTGCTGTTCTTCTGTATCTCTTTAAGGCAGCTGGGGTGATATTGCTGTTTCACTTTTTTTCTTCCAGTAAATTATACGTAACATAAGATTGACCATTTTATTTACTACACTTGTGTAAAGTGTCTAGTTCAGGGGCGTTAAGTACTTCCACGTGTTGTGCAAACATTGTCACTGTCTGTCTCCAGAACTTTCCCATCCTCCCAGACTGAACTCCGTCCCATTAAACTGACTCTCCATCCCCTCCCCCGTTCCCTGGCACCCACTGCCTGCTTCTTGTTTATGAACCTGACTTTTCCAGGTACCTCCTTACCATTTCATTTCATAAGTGAAAAACCAGAGAGAATCAGGAAATGAACCCATTTTAGTAGCAAGTTGTTTATCATGGTAGATGGTCTAAAGTAAAGGTACTTTATGAAAATAGGTCAGTTTATCATCTTTTTATTATAAGGGAAAAGATGGTTTGAAAGGCTGTTAGGAATCCAGGAACAAGCCTTTTGGGGGTAGAGGAGAAGGAAAAAATAGTTGTACCAACTCTGTGCTAAAATAAATATGTTCTCAACACGTCTTTCAAATATGTGACTGTCAAACCTTTCTTAGCTCTTGACCAAGGACCAGACCGTTCAATGGATGTCTCACTTCTCTGCTCTCGATGCCTCTTCCTCCTGCTGGTGCCGGGCAACTTTCCTGCTGTCTTCCTCACCTTGGTCCCTCTTCCCAGCCTTGTTTCCATCTATTCTCTACTCCAGCTGAAACTTACGACCCCATCCTTTGAATCCACTTCCACACAAGCTGTGGGGCTGTTTCATTCCTACCATCTTTGCCTGCCATCTTGTATTTTCCTGAACTGGTGTTTGTCAAAATGATCCTTAAACCGTCTGCCTTGGAACCACTTAGCGCACTTGTTAAAGTTTCAGGTTCCTGGCCTCATTCCGTCTCTGCCCAGTCAGAATCTCTGCCTGGTGTGGACTGGTTAGTCTACATGTTTAGCAGGTGTTCCAGGGCACCCTGCACACCCTGGAGTTTGAGAACCACTGCCCCAGATGTTGGCTGAATGGACATTTGGGGCTCAAGACTTTATAGGCTCCTAGAGACTTTGTGCGTTAACCCAGAAACAGTTGTTTTAGTGGGAAAAATATATTCTAAATCCATACAGCCAACTTAAAGTTTAACTCTGAGAACGTGCCTGATTTGAGTTTTTGATTTTTTTAAATTCTCTTTCATGTCCCCTACCCGCCAGCCCCTGGCAACGACTTTTCTACTCTCTGTTTCTCTGAGTTTGGCTTTTTTTTTAAAGATTACGCATGTAAGTGAGATCAGACAGTGTTTGTCTTTTTCTGTTTCGCTCAGCCTGATGCCCTCAAGGTCCATCCATGTTGTCGCCGATGACAGAGTTTTTCTTCCTCCTGGTTGAATAATATTCCACTGGGGCTTACATACCACGTCTTCTTTATCCATGCATCCATTGACGGACACTTAGGCTGTTTCCATATTTTGGCTGTTGTAAACAGTGCCGCAGTGGACTTGGGAGTGCAGATACGGCTTCAATATCCTGTTTTCATTTCCTTTGGATATATACCCAGAGGTGGAATTTGCTAGATCATATGGTAGACCTATTTTTAATTTTTTGGGGAACCTCCATACTGTTTTCCATGGTGGCTGCACCAATTTCCATTTCCACCAACGGTACACAAGGGTTCTCTTTTCTCCACATCCTCACCAACACTTACCTCTTGACTTTTTTGAGAACAGCCATTCTGACAGGTGTGAGGGGATATCTCATTCTGGTTTTGGTTGCATTTCCTTGATGAGTAGTGATGTTGAACATCTTTTCATGTACCATTGCCCATCCTTATGTCTTTTTTGAAAAATGTCTATTCATGTTTTCTGCCCATTTTTTAATTGGATTGTTTGTTTTTTTGGTATTAATTGTATGAGTCCCTTTGTATTTTAGCTATTAACCCTTTATCAGATATGTGATTTGCAAATATTTTCTCCCATTCAATAGGTGACTTTTCATTGCATTGATGGTTTCGTTTGCTGTGCAGAAGCTTTTTGGTTTGATGTTGTCCCACTTGTTTTTTTTCTTTTTTTATTTTTTTACGGTGGTAACATTGGTTTATAACATTATATAAATTTTGGGTGTACATCATTATATTTTGATTTCTGTGTAGACAACATCATGTTCACCACCCAAAGACTAATTACAATCCATCACCACACACATGTGCCTATCACCCCCTCCACCCTCCTCCCTCCCCCCTTCCCCTCTGGTAACCACTAATCCAATCTCTGTATCTATGTCTTTGTTTGTTGTTGTTTTTATCTTCTACTTATGAGTGAGATCGTACGGAATTTGACTCTCTCCCTCTGACTTATTTCACTCAGCATAATACCCTCAGGGTCCTTCCATGTTGTCATAAATGGCCAGATTTCATCCTTTTTTTTGACTGAGTAGTATTCCATTGTGTATATATCCCACTTGTTTGTTTTTGCTTTCCTTGTCTTTGCTTTTCATCCATAGTTTACTTGATGCCAGATCCAAGGTTCCTTGATGTTTTGAGAGTTAGAAAGAGGAAAGAAGGGTGATTTCCTCCAATTTTTTTCTCCAAGTGTATACAATTTACTGACTGCTTTTTTCATATCTTATTGGTTTTCGTTTGATTTCTTCAATACAAATAGAAGGGAAGAATGGAGAGGAAGAAAAGAAGTGAAGGAGGCCCACACCTGACTTTCTGAATGGCAGTGTGTCCTTTGTATCTTTGAGCCTTTCTAATAAATGTCAGCAGACCACTGTTGGTTTGTCATGAACACTGATCCTAGGATAAGCTGACTGATGTTGGCTTTGAAAAATTGCAGGTCGTGTGCATTTTAGCCAGAAAATGAAGAGCTGGCTGGAAGTGCGCTATGAGTGATCAGGGACAAATGATGGGAGAGTGCTGTGCAGGCTTCGCGTTCGCACCTCTCTGTTGTTGTGGCCCAGTTCAGGTCCCTGTGAGTGCTTTGGTCAGTGTTGGGTGTGAGTCGATGGTCTCTGTCCCCTCTGAGTTCTCGTCCGCACACTCGTCCTCTCTTATAGCCGGGCTTTCGGGGATGAATAAATTATGGGACATCTGCCGTTTCCTTAGGTTTTTCTTTTCAGCAGCTACTTCAGAGGTGTTTAAGCTGGTGCTGGCTACCTCGTGACAGAGCACAGCGAGTGGGGCTTGGCAGCAGGACCGGGGAGGCTGCCGAGGTGCAGCGAGCAGCCGTGTTTGAGCAGCGGTCCTCAGCCTGCTTCCTTGTCTCGTTGTGGGTGTGCGGCTGTGCCGTCGGTGGGCTTCAGTCTTATCTGGAAAACTAAAAACCGTCGTTACTTTTGTAACTCAATTGACATTTACATTTAATTGGGTAAATAGCATTCTTTGACTCAATAGCATTGGGTTTCACTTGGAAAGGCCCTGATACTGTTTACAGTGTGCTAAGCCAGGGGAGCTAGGCTCTGGCCGCAGGCTCCGCTTGCTTGCAGAGCTTTTAAAAGGAGCCGTGTCCCGGCTCCACCTCAGGACAGCCGAATTCAAATATGTGGGGACCTTTCTCCCTTCAGCTGGTTGAAGCTCTCCAGGTGATTTTGAGGTGTGGCACGATGGAGAATAAGTGTGTTTAATCGCTGCTTCTCAAATGATCTGAGGGGAAGGGCTAGTTTTTTGGTTTTTTCCTAATCTCTTGTGAACTGATACTTTAAAAATACAATCAAAATGACTTCTTAGAAAAGTGTAATTCAAGTTCCAAATTTTATTAATAGGCTCAACAGACATAAGGATTATTCCACCAAATTGCTGTAAATGTCTCTGAATGAACCAATGGCACTCAGCTTGCAGACCAGCCCTGGTCCGGGTCCAACTTGCAGAGATGTGTTCAGACCTGCTCTGCCGCCATAAGCTGTTAGTTGCTGACGTCAGAATGCCATGCGGGTCAGCTCTGACTGTAAGACTGTCTCTTTGTGAGGCCAAACTGTAGGCAGTTATATGCTTAAATTCCTAATCACTGTAGGAAGTTATTTCCACTCACCATTGACTGCGCATCTGCTTTGCTTTAAGCGCTCTGCCGAGTTGAGAAGTGGTGAAGGGAAGCGGTGTCCTTCTGTGACTTCAGGGAAGCAGAGGTGTCTGGACAGGCCAGCTGAGCGTAGGAAGGCCCCTCTCCAGCTCTGGGAGCTTTACAGCTGCCTGCACCGACAGCCTTAGTCTCACCTTGTGATCATAATGCTTGCATTTAAATGCTGTTTTATAATGTTCAAAATGTTTTATTTCATAATTTTCTGTGTATTTTCATTTAAATTCTGTGGTTGATCTTTGTACCAGCCTCGTGTGCCGAGTCGGGCAGAGGTTGTCACACCGCCTTGCAGACGGGAAGGGTGAGGCCCTCGGCCTGCATGGTGGACCCCGTCTCTCTCTCCTGTTTTAGTTTGAAGAGAAAACCTGAAACAGTTTCCTGACTCCGTTCCAGCTGTCACTGCGAGGGAAGGTGTTTCCAGAAAGGCAGCAACTTCTCTTCCTGCAGTGGAAGGGATGTGATGGCCTCAAGGCTGCTGTGTTTTAACGACTTCCCTAATTTTTTGCTAGAAATTTAGGGCAGAGGCAGATGTGTGATGCAGACTCTAAACATTTTTTGTGGGAAAAAAACTAAAGCATTCTTGTACAGGAGATAACTGAAAAAATAAAGGATAGGTAAAATTTTTCAATTTTCTGTCTTTGTTTTTTTCACTGCAGAATTTGTTTAATATGGTTGTCGAAGTGCCTCGCTGGACAAATGCGAAGATGGAGGTATGGAAACATTCTGTGATATCAAATGGAAATGATAATCAATAATGATATAGAACTTTATTTCAAGTTGTTTGCCATAATATTTTGAATTTGGGATGGTTGACAGACTTGTTTATAATGAAACGTTCTTGTGAACTTACTTTGAATCTAGTTTCAAAAAGCAAAATATTATTTAAAGCTGAATGTACACTTTAAGGAGAGTGTTTTCCATTTTTGCTTGTCTAGTTTGTTACACACACATTTGATTTTCTTTGACAACTCTGTCCTTTAAAGTGACAAATATTTTCAAGGTTTGTTAAATAGAGTCTGAGATGTATTTTGTTCATGGACACAGCGGAAACGTGTATATTTGGGGCTGATGGCAATTTTAGTTTCTAAGGACTTTGTTCTTCTTTAGATTTTTCTCTACCAGGAATGGCAGCATTTTCCTGGCCAGCTCTTGATTTATGAGCTCTGTCTAAGAGCATCTTCTGTTCCCCTGGTTAGCTTTTTTTAGTCGTTTCCATGAGGCATGAGCCTATCAAGAACTTCCCTTTTGCTTTTCAGAATTTTATTGTTCCATCGTCTTAGGTAAGATCACGTACGTATAGTTCTGAGTGAAATTTAATTTATGCCACTTAATCTGTTAGTTACTTAAGCCTTCTCTGACAACTTTGGATGTGATGGCAAGTACTATTTCAAGCATTTAAGAATTGTTATATAGGTGTATATTTTTCAGAATTTATGTTTGGAGAGTTGTCAGTAATTTCACCAGGTCCTGGTCGTATCTTTTTGTTGATATTTTAGTAGGAAAGAGTAAAGACCCTAGATTCTTCTTTTGGTTTTGTTCAGGTGTAACGTTTCATTGTCTGGTATTCTCTGTCGCAGTTAGGTCCAGGATCAGGAATCTGAGCTTCTGCCTAACTTAAGCAGCATTGGTTCATTCACACATGGCTTCAGTAATTTTTGTTTTCTTTATAGGATAGGTTTTTTTCTTTTTGCATGGCAATTTGGATAAGTTTGATAGAAAGGTAATTTTGAAATGAAACCAGTTGGTGAAAATCTTTGAGGTAAATTTATCATCACAAAACTGATGGTAAAAAGCCCAAGATTAGTAACAGAAAGCAAGCTGATGAATCTTTATCTTGCCATTTCACTCATTTTATTATTTTCATTAGAAATAATGAGTGCACTAATGATAGCGTACCTAAATAGTTCATCGGATATTTCCTTTCCAGACAGTTTTTCTTACACAGGACTGCAAATTAGAAATAAGAGCTGGCTGAATTTATTTTAAAATATCTTTGATCAGTATGTTGGAATATGAAGATTTAGCTGATAATAGCAGATTTAAAAAATGCAGTTTGGATATGGGATTCCTCATTTCTCATCCCCCTTTTTCCGTGATCTGCTTAGATTGCCACGGAGGAGCCGTTGAACCCCATTAAACAGGATTTGAAGGATGGCAAGCCGCGCTTTGTGGCGAATATCTTTCCTCACAAGGGTTATATATGGAATTACGGCGCCCTCCCTCAGGTAACGTTTTTGTTATAATGGTAGAACGTCTCTGTCTTCTGAAAAAACTGCCTTGTAAATCCTGTGAACTACGTGAATTTAAACTGGTTCTGAGGACATGTCAGTTTGAGAGATTTGTACATTTAAAGTTTTTTAATGTGGAGTTTTACTGTGTCAGTAAATTCAAACAATGTAGGCGTCTGCTCGGGGTCTTGGAGGTGGTGCATAGAGCACTCATGGTTGGTGCTCTGAGCATGGTTCTTCTGGGCTTGGCGAGTCCGACGCCCTGCCAAGTGCTGTATCTGCTTTCTCTGCTGTCACTTCGTGAATATACACTCACACGCGAGAGTAAGGATTTTATTGTTTAAACTCCAACAGATGAATCTTTTGAAGCATTACCTTTTTTCAGATCTCACTGTGGACTGAGTTAGGTGATTAATTATCCACTATTGTGAATTTACACTTTTAAGTGGGAGGCGTGAGGACGAAGGGAGCCCGGGCTCGGTGCCGGGAGCCGCTCCTGTCGGAGTCACACTGCTGTCGGCCGTCTCTCCTCCTCCCTGTTCGTTCTCTTCTCGTGGTTCCTTACTCTGGACTCTGGGAAGTGTCTCTCATTCCAGATTATTTAGTGAGGAAAAACTCAGAATACGCAGAATCCAAAGTCTAGGATTTGGGGACAGAGAGAAGAGTCTGCCTTTATGTTTATAAAAGCCATTTGACTGTCCATCTATCTGGATATTTAATTGTTTTATTTTTATTTTATTAATTTTAATATTTTACATGAAATTCCAAGATGCATTTGGGGAAATAGCTGAGAAAAAGGTGTCTTGCTTTATCCAACTTAAAAAAACAGCTGCCTATGTAGAATAAACCTGCACAGGAAAAGAAAAAAGCATGTTTTCTAAAGAGTGAGGCTACCTTAGACGCAGTTGGAGCACCCACGCGGATGTGTTCTGTGAAACAGGCGCTGCTGAAACGGGGGCTGAAGGAGGGGGTCTGACTCCCGGCGCCGCAGGCAGACGTGGGAGGACCTGCAGTGAAAGGTGGAGGCATTTTGTGACACATAGAGGATGCCGTCTGCAGGAGAAGATGTGTGGATGGGGGGAGGCCAGAGAGGCCGCTGCGCTGAGACCGACAGACAGTCGGAGGCATAGAGGAGGCAGGGGGTAAAGTTCATCTGTTTATTTTATTAAACACTTACTAAGGATTTATGTGCCGGGCAGCACGTTAGGTGTTGGGCATACAAAGAAAAAGGAGATGTAAATACAGATCCAGGCTGCGTTGTGAGTGGCTAGGATGTGGGTTTGGAGCCAGATTGCTGCTTTCTAGTACTCTGCCTGGGGAAGTCTGTCCGTCTGCTGGCCTCGCCGTCCTCCTCTGTGAAGTAGAGACGATAAAGCACCTCCTGCGCGTGGTGCTGAGGATGGGTGAGTCCTGCACGTTCATCTCAGAACAGTGCCTGGCGGAGGGCGGGAGCGTGACCTCATTGTTGCTGCTCCTGGTTCTCTGAGTGCTCCGTGCTGTTTCCTTTAAGGAACATCACCGAGACCAGAGGTTACAGGGGAGCCGAAGGGGCGCTGCAAACTCGTCTACTCGTTCTGAGCTTTTGTAGTTGATCTCTTCAAAGTCCTGACAAGGTTTTGTCCTCCTCTGGAAGCGTCTGAGTTTTCAGGATGTGCGTGTCTGCTGTCGTCTGTCTGTTGGGCACAGTGGCTGTCTTTAGTTAACAGAACTGGACCGCAGTGGCCTCCTCGCGCCTGCCCTCACTCCTGCCTCCCGTGCTTCCATCCTCCGCCCAGCACCAGCACAGCACTGTGCAAACAGACAGCTGCGCACATCGTGCCCCTGTGAGGACCCTCCTCAAAGGTTCAGTAGCCAGTGCTGAGCAGGCTGCTGAGAGAACCAGAGAGAACACCTTCCCGTGCCCCCAGCCCTGCGTCTGCCCCGCCGCCTGCACCAGCCCGCCTGACAGCGTCCGTCCTTCCGCCCGACTGCCTCAGTGCTGCCGACTCCCTGCCGTTCCTGCATTCAGGGCACGTGTTTTGAGAGCCCGCTGTTGGCCAGGCGGGTTCTCAGAACTGGAGGTGAAGTAGTGAGAACAGTGACACAAATTCCTCTGGGACTTTCCTTCTGGGCAGAGAGACAGGCCAGAAAAAGGAAATGTACACGATGCGTGGTTTGTCGGGCGGCGGTGAGTGTGCTGGAGAGAAGTGGGGCAAGGAGGGGGCTGGGTGGGGGGCTTGTTGGGGTCAGACAGGCAGCAGGCCTCTGCGAGAAGGTGCTTCCTGAGCGCAGACCCAGAGGAGGTGGGGGACCAGTGGTGTGGACGTCTGGGGGACCCAACCAGAGACAGTGAGCACAGACAGCGTGTGGAGAGGGCTCAGCATGTTTCCCAACAGACGGGGGCAGTGTGGCCCGAGCACCAACAAGGAAGACGAGCAGACCGGCATTCTCTGCCACATCTCTGCAGAGGTCTTCACTGTCTTTTTAGACCCAAACTGCTCTTGGCCAGTGTGAGTGTGTGAGTGTGGTAGTCCTCAGCACAGGGTCCACTGCAGACTGCGTGGGAGTTACTTACCAAACGAGAATAACTGATGTTATTAGTAGACTAATGTTTATAACAAGTTGAAGTTAGGCCACTCGTTTCTGGGAAAGGATAACTACCTAATATCTTTTCACTTCGTAGTCAACGATAAGACGGAGTGAACCTGTTAAAATGCAAGCAGCCCCGGGTCTGTTTACGTTTCTGACCTCGGCTCCAGCTCCCCGTCCTCCTCCCCCTGCTCCCTCGCCCCCACACTGGCGGCTTGCGGATCGGTTCCTCTGACCCTCCGGGCACACCCTGCATCTGACCGACCTTCCGCGCACTGTGTCCTCCGGCTTGGAACTCTTCCCCAGGTCCCGGGTGTGCACACAGCTCACCTCCCTCGCAACGTCTGCCCTGAGCATCCCGTACGACTCCAGCCCGCCTCCCCTGGCCCACTCCGCCTTTGGTCGTTCATTTTCTTCCCTTTGCCGTGACACCTGCCGACGTCCAACATGCTGTATAACTCAGTTATCTGTTAATTTGTTGCCAGCTTCCTCGGGCTGGGATGCTGGCTCCGTGTGGACAGGGAGTCTGTCTCTTGTTCACAGATGTCTTCCAGCTGCCCGGCCTGCTCCCTGGCACAGCGTGGCTGATCAGTCGGTGCTTGTGGAATGAGTGAGTTCGTGAATGCGTTGCGTGTGTGGCGTTGGTCTCATAGGCATGTGTGGGTATTGGATTTTGCTGTTCTCTTTCCGTCTCATAACAGCAGAAGATTAGTTCAGAGAAGGTACCAAGCCTGCCGTGCTGAGAGGCTTTGAAGCTGCAGAGCCCCGTTCCGTAGCCGTCTGTGCTGAGCTGTGGTCCTCAGGGCATCCTGCATCAGGCCGTCGCTGTCCACACGCTTTAACCTCCATGATTCCTCCTGCCCTGGCACTGATGCTTGCTCAGAGTTTGAGTTTGGCCTGGGCAGAAATCATCTTTGTCTTCCCCCAGTTGTTCAGAATTCCGCATCTAATGGGTTATTCAAGGGTTATGTCTTTCTGGGTAAATATTCAGAAAACCTGTTGGATAATGTTACGGGACTGTAATCACAGATTCAAGGTTTCTTCAGTCTTAATGTGATGTTGTTGTGTTTATTGTTTTGAACTTCGTCATGAGTTTGGGTCATTGACCCCACTGTCATGAAGTACCACTTACTAGCTTTTAACCTGGGACCAGTGGCTGAGCCTCTGCAGGCCTGTTGTTTCTCTGTGTCATCAAACCACTCGCCCCACAAGGTCACCGTGAATAGTAAGTGAGACCGTTAGTGTGTGGAGCCCCACAGTGAGTTTGTGTTGGTGCCACTGTCGCTGCAGGCATCAGCTGCTGATGGTGAGACAGCTGGCGGCGCATCTGCTCCCACTGAAGTGGGCAGAGTACACGCAGAGGCTGAGCGGGTCTCCCCTCCACTGGCATGGCCCTGGGGGTCCCGATCAGTCAGGAGGCGACGGGGGTCCCGATCAGTCAGGAGGTGACCAGGGTCCCTATCAGTCAGGAGGCTGTTCTCCAGAGGCGTTGGATGCACAGCTCTGTGCAGTTCACGGGTTTTCAGAGGCTAAGGACCAGTGCGTGGTGATTCCAGACGGGGATGGGCTGATGCTGTGGATTGTAAGGTGGCAATCTCAGACACCTGCACGAGGACGGGTAGGGCTGGATCAGTAACCTGTGTGTTCTGACTTATCTGTTTGCATAGCTCTATAGCCATCCTCTGTATGAGTTTAACACTATTCATATTCCTGTTGATAGGTTGTTTTTAACTATTTTTTAATGCTTTTCTTGGGCCCATGCTAAAATTTTCTGTATTTGTAGTATATATAGGTGTATACTCCTGGGTCTGTAGCTGAGTCAGATGGCTAAATTGTGAGTTACACACCCATTTTACTTTATGAGGTGTTCCCAAATTGTTTACAAAGGAGTTGGAGCCATAGGCACTCCTGCCAAGCGCCTGTCGGGTGCAGGTGCCTCCGTTGTTTCTGGTATTCGGCATTGTCAGATTCTTAGGTCTTTGCAATGGTGTCTCCTTCTGGTTTTAAGTTGGGTCTCTCCCGTCACACTGGGCATCTTTTCATGTATTACAAGTCTTCCTGTGCCCCTTCTTTGATTTCCTGTTCTGTCTGCGGCCTGTTTTGTGTTGGGCTGCCTTTTTTCTTGTCCGGTTGTGGAAGTTACTTCTAAATTCTGGGGGGAACAAGTATGACGGTTTGGCGTTTCTTCTTCTGGATGTTTCTGCTGCAGCCTGCCTGCTTTCCCGTCCCTCGCCTGGCTGTGCACATGAAGCTCCACAAGAGGGCGAACTCGGAGCTTTACTTTGTCCAGGTGTCCTCTCCAGCGGTTGCTTGGAATGGTACCTTAGTTTCAAGTTAAGTTAGAAGCTGTTTCGTGTGAATCTGTTTGTACTGAGAACCGAGGCCTGTGGATATAGCGTTTAAGGGCAGGCCTGGAAGTAGAAATGCCAGCCTGGTGCCTTACTTGTGAGGGGATCATGAAGAACTGGCCCAGAAACGGACACCATCGCATCGTGTGGCTTAAGAATTTTGGACTTGCATGCATATTCCCCAGCAGAAGCAGCTGAGTTGATAGGTGATACTGAACCTGGGGTTCTGAGGGGATGTGGACCAGTCAGTCAGCAAACAGAAGCCCCCGCCAGCACCATGGGGGGCAGCGCCTGTGAAGATGCTGTCCTTCTGGTGCAGGAAGGACTTTGTTCTGGGTCGCGCTGCTGGGGCGGGCTGAGTCACTCGTGAGCCCGAGAGCGTCCCTCCCTGCTGGTGTCGTGCGGTGAAGAGGGACCACTGACGGTCATGGGACTCAGGCAGGGCGTATCCAGCAGCTGTCTCGTGTAAGCCGTTCCCTGACAGGAGGGGAAACTGAGGTCTGGGGTTCGTGGCTGAAGTAGGCTGGGGTCCGGCTGTCCTCCTCGGGGCCAGGGTGGCTCCTGCTCCTTCTGAGAGGGGAGCGAGCTTGAGGGGGGTCAGGAGAGGATCCCTGCACTAGGATGGAGGGGCCTCGGCCGCCTTCCTTCTGCGTCTGGGTTTTCTGATTCCAGTTTGAGCTCAGTCCCATCTTGGTTTGTCCAGCACGTTTAGGTGAGTTTTGTAGCATTTGTGACAAGTGCTGTGCCGTTTATTAACACGGGGCAGTGACCATCCTCTGCATCTCTGTTCCTCACTCGTGGCCCAGAGAGGGTTCTCCACGAGTCCTGAGGGCGTGCGTGTCCTGGAAAGAGGAGGCAGGAGGCCGTGGGGGTTGGACAGTAGCACAGGACAGAGCTCCAGGAAGAGGGCCATGAGACAGAATACGGTGATCTCTGGAGGTCATGGCCGTTCCGTTGCTGCCGTTGCCAGAATTCGGCGTCGTGACATCGTGGCTGACAGCGTGGGTTCTCCTCCCGTGGCCTCCGTTTAGAGCTGTGAGCGTGGGCAGTTTACTCTCTGGGCTTCAGTTTGCTCACCTGTAAGGTGAGGTTGTGAATCATGCCTTCCTCCTGGGGGGTGTGGGGGTGCCGCCTGGAAAGCCTCGCTCACCCACAGCCAGTGGGGCACTTAACGTTATGTTTATTCTTCTTATATTTTATTTCTAATATTGGGGAGTCAAATGTTGTTGGACTTGGTTTACTGATATATATATATATATATTTTTTTTTTTGGGTGAGGCTGGGTCAGTTTATTCTTGAACATACTATAATTAAGGCCAGAAGGCAAATACTGGAGTTTATCTAGGGTTAGGTGTAAGTTAGTCCATTTTTAATTATCTGTGTAAATGAGAGGGACCAAGCTTGGATAATCTGAAGTTGTAGATAGCAATCTTGAGATGACCCGGTCTCTGCACGTGTTAGAGTGTAAATCTGAGCAAGCTCCCAGTTCCACTTAGAATTGGGTGGTTCTGAGGCTTTTTGGGAAGGATAGTGTGTAGGGGATGTTGAAACTTGATAACAAGTGTCTCTTATGCTGTTCATTTGTAAAAATGCCCCTGTGTGTACTTTGTGACCAACAGCCAGAGTTGACACTTTTTTGTGTGTTTGTCAAGGTCTTGGGATCTGATGGCAAAAGTAGAGGATTTTGTAAATGGAATGAAATTGATTTCTCTCTTCTTTGGTAGATTCTGTCTTTAGTTTATGAAGGGAAAACTGGGTGTCTTCTAATAGAAGTCACTTAAAGAATAGGAAGTTTATTTTCAAACACTGAAAGCCAGACCCAGTGTGGTTACCGGTCGGAGGAAGCTGCGATGATGGCAGCAGGGTTAGGCAGCCAGTGGGGACGCGGGCACAGACGATGGAGCATCGAACCGAAACTCCCAGTGAACCTGAATTAGACGCTGACTAAACTTGGGAGGAGCGTGTGTTTGGAAATGCCGCCCACTGTCAGATGTGGTCATGCGGACAAGTGAGACCGGCAGGGAGGAGGGCTGTAAATCATGCTAATTACGCCGAAGCGCAGGGAGGTGCTGGTGTGTTGGCGGCGCTGAGCCTGTGTAATTTCTGAGAATCTTCCTTGGCTTATGGCTGTCTGTAAAACTTCACAATCACGTGGAAAGAGTAAGATGTGTTATAGTGAGCATTAACCTGTTTTTCTCCCCTGTCCCTTTTTTTCAGACTTGGGAAGATCCCCATCGGAAAGAGAAGAGCACGGACTGCTGTGGAGACAATGATCCTATTGATGTTTGTGAAATAGGCTCAAAGGTGTGTTTGACAGCCTGTGGCTCGAACATGTGTTCCAGGTTGTTGCGGCCACACCAGTTCAGGTCTCCCCGGAAGGCACCAGTTCTTCGGCTCTTAGAGTTCTAGCCCACTGAGCCCTGGTTCCAGTCCCTTTTCGTGCCTTTACTCCTTCTCATGCTGGGGCTTGGTGAAGTGCAGCCACGGCGGGTCAAACCTCTCACGGCCGGTCTTTATAAATAGCGCAGCTGCGCCCGTGGCTGACATCCTGTCTGTGGCTGTGCGTCCCGGCAGCAGAGCTGAGGAGGTGGCAGGCGTGCAGTCTGCAGGTCTCAAGCAAGTGCTCTGAATCCTGAATACGGTGGAAGGTTTGCCGAGTGGTCCTGGGCTTCCTTGCCCATCATCCAGACAGGAAGTTCACACTGGTGACACGGCCTGCTCCTCTTCTCTCTGCCTGCCACCAGCTTGCCGGGTCCTATGGGGAGGAGCAAAGCCTGCGATGCCATGGGTGCTGCGACCCGCGGAATTTGGGTCTTTGGTCGATTCTTTCTTCTATTTTCTGCTGCACTGTTGCTGGCTTTTGTTGTTCTCTGTGGACGTCCTTGCACTTTGTCTTCCCTCCCAGCACAGTGTCCTGTCTCTCATTTCCTGGAGCTCCTGGAAACCGGCCAATAAGAGCTTGCCAACCTTGTCCCCGTGGACGGCCGAGCGGCCAGTGCCCACACACGTGCCTCTTCCGTGCCGTCTGTGACCGCAGGAGCTGTCTTCTTACCCACAACCAGGGCCCCTGCTCCTGAGGGACAGTGTCTTCTCGTCCCTCCTGCGCTGCGTTTGCAGCCGCGTCCTCGGGGCCCCTCCCTGGCGCCTCCTCTCTCCCCTTCGAATGAGATTGTAGCATCTGTGCACGCACTCGGCTCCTGCTTCCCACTTGTCTTCAGTCCACTTCACGTTGTTTCTGTCCCCGTCATGTTGGGAAGCTGCCCTCGCCGAGGTCCTGGTAACTCTCTATTAGCCGAGGCCACAGGCTGTGCGACAGGTTCTGTCTCGCTTGAGCTCCCCTGGCCTTTTATGCTGTAACCGTGACTCCCTCTGGAACCGTCTCGTCCCTTGACTGTGACTGACTCTGGTACCTTGGATGTCCTCTCGTTCTGTTCCCTCTTGCTTTCCTCTGAAGGCTCCTTAAGCACTGGTCAGGTTGAGTGCTGGGCCCGTGTCCAGCTGCCGTCCTCATCGGGAGCTCCCTTGGTCATCCGATCCCAAGCACGTGGCTTTGCTCTCCGACTGGTCGCCCCAGCTGGGACCCATACACGCAGCTGCCCATGTCCACGCTTGGGTGTCTCCCGGGCGTCTCCAGCTCCTTGTGTCCCAAACTGAGTCCATTATTTCCTCATCCCAGGGTGGTCAGGCTCAGTGAGTGGCGCCTCCCCCGACCATTCTTAAACCAGGACTGGGGGTCATCCTTGGTGGTTCTTCTCTTTATCCCGTAAATCATGGAATGCCCGTTCTGTGGTCTAAATAGCCTTCCCGTCTGTGTCTCCGTTCTCGGTGCAGCGGTCTAGCGCCTGCTGTCTCTGACTTGCGTTGTCTCTGCTCCTGACTGGTTTCCTCCTGTCTTATTTTCCCGGCCGTCATTGATTCCAGGCTCTTGTCCAGCCCCTCTCTGCTGGTCCCTGACCCCGCCTTCTGTCTCCCTGTTCTCCTCGTGCACTGCTCGTTTGCACAGTGGCTCCAGCTGCACTGACCTCGCGGTTCCTCTGACATACCTGCTCTTGCTCACGTCGGGCCCTCGCACCAGCCGTTCCCTGCGTGTGGATGGAGCGTCTTCCTCCTCCGCTTTTTTTCCCTTACCCTCCCCCGCGCACCCCTCAGACCTCAGCTCAAGCATCGCCCCCGGAGTTTTCCTTCACCCTCTGTGGACTGACAGAGTGGCTTTTTGTTATGCGCTCTGCTGTCAGTCTTACTGTCCCCTCTGAGCACAGGCCTTGCTGGGCGGTGGTCAGCTCAGTGCCCGCACCCAGGGATGCTGCGGTTGGGAAATTCTTCTAGTTGGGATCAAGTCACTTCTCTCTGGAAACTCCCAGCACTTCTAGGCTTCTAGAATATTATTTAGCACATAGTTGCTCTGAGTCTTTGTCACTTTGTTCGTCGACCATGTTATTTTGTTACTCTCTCCTTTTCTTTCTCTTCCTCCTCCTCCTCTTCTTCATCCTCCTCTTAGACTTTCTCGTCCGTCTCTTGCCCTTTGTCCTTGGTCTCCCACCTCCTCTTCTGTCTTCCCTCTCCATGCTCTCCCCCTGTCTTCTTTTTCCTCTCCCTCTCTCTCTCCTTTCCTGCAGGGGAGACCCTCATCCTACACACATTCCTAGTTTTACACACAGATGGGGTAGATGGGACCACCCTGTGCAGCATCCCTGGCCTCTTCCCACTGGATGCAACAGGCTTCTGGTTGAGGTAGCAGTCCCTGGTTGACGCTCAGCAGGTTAACAGGGACCTAGTCCTACAACTGCGAAGAACGGGCTTGAAGGGGATTCTTCCTTAGAACCTCGATCAAAGCCCTGCTGGCCAACACCTTGATTTCGGCCTTGTTGGGCCACAAGCAGAGAGTCTAGCCGTGCTGTGCCTGGACTCCTGGCCCGTGGAAGCTGTGAGATGACAGATCTACGCTGCTTTAAGCCTTTGGGTTTGTGGCAATTTGTTACGTGACCGTAGAAACCTGGTGCACGGGGTGACAGCCTTAGCAGTTTTACTCCCTGTGGTTTTCTTGTATTGGTGGGTCCAGTGGAAGTCTTGCCTCCTTCTTCAAATTCTGAACCAGTGGAGAACCCCTGTTGTGGGCATCAGTGTCCTCCGCTCCTCCCAGGCCCCCGAGGGTGAGCTGCCGACAGGGGTGAGCCGATAGGTCCACGTAAGAGCCAGAGAGAAGCCGTGACTGTCTGTGGAAGACCTTCCGTTCTGGTCTATGTGTCCGTCATTTCTTTGCTCTTGACTTCAAGGAATAAGTACCGTGGTCTCCATTTTACCGTTGAGAAACCGAGTCCTGGCGCACGATGTGAAGTCGTTTGCCCAAGGTCGCATCTAGGAGTGGTGGAGGACGACTTCAACCCCACGTGTTTGTGACTTAAAAGTCCTGTCTTTTGAAATCTTTTCCATAAATAGCTAGAGAAGTCAGTGATGACCCTAGTGAGATCCTGCCTATAGCCTTGAGGCGTGCCCGTGTTCTTGGTCCAGAGTCGTTCCACTGGTCTTCAGACGTGGTGGACTGTGGTTCCCAGGCAAGCGGGGCCAGCACGGGTTACGCACGCTCAGTTCCTTGGAGGGGTGCACTGATGGTTTTATGACAGAACTGGGAAAACAGGCTTCATCTTACCGCCGAGCAATTCATCCCTTTAGTTGGTGAGACCTGAGACAATATTTAGCAAATATGAAGCGAGGACTTCGTCGCCATCTAAAGAATAGGCCTTTGTTGGGACTGTGCTCCTGGCCGTGCATGGGGTCCTGGAACCGTCTGGGGAGGAAGCCCCTTCCAACACCACATGGCGAGGGGAGGGAGCAGAGGCCTGGAAGCTGGGGTGAGGCTGAGGACCACGCTTGGGAACCTTGAGGGGGTTCAGTTCCTTGAGGGCTTATGGACTGTTCTTTTGGTGTCTAACATTCTATGTTCCGCATAAATTTGTTGAATTGATTTAGAATGAATTGACTTGTGTGAAGGGGGCCAGTTCATAAGAACTTTGCCTTTTGTTCCTAAGCATCTCATCCTGAGTTTTTGGTCTGACTGAGAGTTTCTAGTGTTGAAAGGTGTTATGACGAGGCAGTGGTTTGTCTGAGCCCTCTCTGTGGCTTTGGACGTCACAGAACATGTGTCAGTGTGATGAAACAGATCCCCAGTCACGCTTCCTGCTTGCCCTGTAACCATGACAATCTCAAATCTGCTCTTATGTTGTACGAAATTTCAAAGTAAATTAATTTTTTTAAATAAAAATAAAACCATTTAGAGTGTGCTTTTTAAACTATGTATGATTCCCAGTAATTCTGATAGACACTGCCGCCCCCAGAGTCTCCTGCAGGCCCTCTGCTGTGGCGCTGTTCACATTCTGGGTGACAGTTCTCTCACAGGGCCTGTCCTGTGCAGCCTCCCTGGCCTCTCCCACCAGATGCAGGCGATGCCTCCCCAGTTCTCTCAACCAGCAGTGTCTCCGCACATCGCCGATGGTCCTCTAGAAGACAGAGCTGCCTCTGGTTGAGAGCCAGTGACCTAGTTTATCTCTGAGTTGACCAGCGTAGCCAGCCTTTCATTGGCAATGATGTGATAACTTAGAATTTGAACATTGCTGTTTGACAAAGGCTCTCCTGGCGTGAAGTTTGTCTCCCCAGCAAGGCTGCAAACCTTTGAGAACGGCGACTCTTTCTTTTTATAGACACGGTGTCTGATGTAGTGTTGGGTTCTTAACAGAGCCTGAACATGTGGGGTCTGGTTAATGTAATTGTGCATATTCCCCTAAAAGTGAGATTTCAGTTTAGTTCATAAAATCACACTCATCTGTTGTGTAAACTAATCACAGATTCATGCAGATTTATGTTAAGATTTTAGAGTCATTTGCAAATCTTCTGAAAGGTTTTTTTGACTTTACGGTTTAAGATCTGTTTTTTCTCTCAAATAATTTCAAGACACTAAAATGACTTTCTTTTGGATTCCTTGCTTTCCAAGTGTAAAGCTGCGTTTTGCGTCATGAAGGAATTTATTCTGAAGCGTGTGTTCAGATTTCAGCGTGCGGTGAAATTCTCTAGCCGACTAAACCTTTAAAAGTCAAAGGATGTGGAAGGACTGATGCATATGAATTTGGCATTGACTGCTTGAAGGAACCCCTGAAATAACCTGCTTTAGCTGTGGAACGCCTGCTTCAACATCGCGCTATTTCTCGGTTTCTCTTAAAGTCTTTTAACAGCATTTTATGAAACCTGTTTTGTCTGTATCTTTAACATAGTCATAATCTTTCCTTGTCATTCATTATCTTCTTAAGACTGTATTCTGAGATGTTAAAAATGTACGTTTCACTAGTACCTGAGCATGTGGTTTGCAGAAGAGGTACGGTGGAGCAATTTAAAAGGCTGCTCAGGTCTCTTTTTACCCCTGAGCCGCAGAAGCCAGGTTACATCATGTAGTGATATACGTGGGTTTATTTTCTGTTTAGTGTGAGTTTCTAGGCCTCGTATATTAAATTTCAAGATCTATAAGCAACATCAATTTACAAAAAGGGATCAAGATACTTAATTCTAAAAGGGGTATTATAGAAGGCTTTATGACTTTTTATGTTATTTTTAATTAATAAAGCTTTATTAAATTTTAGGCTATAGCACCTTTAATCTTTCATCTGGATTTTTACGATGTGTGAGTGCACTTCTCCAAAGCCTTGCAAATGCTGAATTTCTTTTCACTTTAAAGGTTCTTTCTCGTGGAGAGGTTATTCGTGTGAAGATCCTTGGAATTTTGGCTCTTATTGATCAGAGTGAAACAGATTGGAAATTAATTGCTATCAATGTGAATGATCCTGAAGCCTCAAAGTTTCATGGTAAGTCTGTCGCTTTCCAGAAGCAGAAGTCAATCAGCGTGCCATTGGAATTGTGAGAATTTAAAGGGGCTCATGTGAAGCACAGTGTATGTATTTGGGAGGTAAATTGATGTTTTGTCTCTTTTAATCTGTCTGCACGGAAGGTAAAGGGCAGTCCGGTATGACTGTGTGTGAGTTGTGTCATACTGCCAGGAGGAACGCGAGGAAAGGATGTGCACTCAGATGATGCTTCGGACGAAGGAAGGACAGTCTGTGGGCTCCCTCCCCCTTCTCCTCTTTCCTAAATCTCTCTTGTTCACTGAGTAACAGGAAAACAACTAAGGGGGGGTGTTCATCAGGACATGAGCTGTTTCTACCCCTTGTTGTATTCTGCCTTGTACAAGCGAAGGGAAGAAGTCCCTCTGACAAAGGTCTGACGTGTCCCAAATGTAAGTTGCAGAGACAGCTGTGTGATGAGGAGCCGGCCCTCCCTGAGACACGCAGACTCCAGGGTTTTTTGTTTCTTCAGACTCCAGTTTGAGCCCCAGCTGTGCTGTGTCCTACCCAAGCACTCTGGGTAGGTCCTTCAAACTTTCTGAATTCCAGTTTGCTCGTCTGTAAATGGAGGTCAGTACACCTTCTTGTGAGGTCGTTGACAGTATGAGAGACAGCTCCCTTAAAGCATCTGGCCGTCACTGTTGTTATTCTCGGACCAATTTTTTCCTCACGTTTGTACCCCTTTTCCATTGAGTTTCATCCATATTCAGAATCTTGGTGCCTGCTAGACCTCAGTTCTTTTCTCAGCTGGAAAGTAGACCGTTTCTGAGGCAACTGAAACTCGTGAAACTTACATGTTAACCTCTCTTAGTTTATGTGCATTTAAAACCTTTTCTTGTGCGTGGACCAGCATGTCATTGAGAAAGGGAGGGACTGAAAGAGCACCGCACGTGTCATCTCAGAGTCACACTAAAACGTGACAACTGCAGTCGCAGTAGGAAACTTGAGTCCATAAGCCAGGTGTTTCTTACCTGTCTCATTATTTTGCCCTGGGCTTCATTATCATCATATTTCTCACATATACATATGTAAGAAGAGTAAATAAATAGCCAGTTTAAAGTGTTTTTTAAGGCATTAACTGCTCCTCAAATGAGAACTCATAATGTAATGGTGCAACAGCCCGCCGAAACACATCATCTAGCTAATTCATTTGTGATGTGGCACTCTGAAGTCACGGACTCTGCCGGGGACGTCCCGTCACACTGCAGGGGCTGAGCCTGAGTGAAGCTGGTCGCTAGATAAACTAGTCCTTAGGTGCAGTAAACTAGTCCTTAGGTGCAGTAAGCTAGTCCTTAGGTGCAGTAAACTAGTCCTTAGGTGCAGTAAGCTAGTCCTTAGGTGCAGTAAGCTAGTCCTTAGGTGCAGTAAACTAGTCCTTAGGTGCAGTAAGCTAGTCCTTAGGTGCAGTAAGCTAGTCCTTAGGTGCAGTAAACTAGTCCTTAGGTGCAGTAAGCTAGTCCTTAGGTGCAGTAAGCTAGTCCTTAGGTGCAGTAAGCTAGTCCTTAGGTGCAGTAAACTAGTCCTTGGGTGCAGTAAACTAGTCCTTAGGTGCAGTAAGCTAGTCTTCACCCAGTACTGTTGGAGCTAGACTCCCGGCATCTGCCAAGCCCTGGTGCCTGTTCTAGTACCGTTATTCTTCTCAACTTGGAAGACGCTCTAAGGAGTGAGATAACCTGCCCAGGTTTGCGCATCTCATGGGTAGGAAGACCGTGACCTGGACTCCTTCTCTCTGATGTAAGCCATTGTCCGTCGGCAGTGTTCCGCTGAGCCATTCATACTTGACCAGTAATCTGCGGTGTTTGTCACGGCAGCACTGAAACCACGTTACCTAAGGCCAGGTGCCTCCTCCCTGTTCCCTTTCCCCAGGGTTATAATGGAAAGTTTAGCTGTCTTTTTGCTTTATTTCTGTTTGTGCCCGGAGTGGAGGTGACGGCACTTTGGGCATCTCGTCGGCTCTTTCTGCGTTTGCGGGAATACTGACGCTTATTCAGGTGGAGATAAAATCGTCAGACTACAACAGTTGAAACAAGTTGTTGTTTTGAAAGAAGAAAAGGACTGTTTTCCGTTCCACTAAAAGGAGACATGTGTATATTATCTCCATCATGAAAAATAAAACAATGCTTCTTCCTGGTATGTTTTTAAAATCCTGAAGTTAAAAGACTAGATGAGTGTGGTTGCCGTGCTCTGCTCTGAGTGCTCTGCTGTTGTGGTGATTTGTGTTTGTTTCCAGAAGGAGTGAGGCCAAGGGGAGACAGGATTCTCTCCTGTGCATGCGTGTTGTTGGCAGCGGGTAGGACCTGCAGTGCTCTCTCTTGTAGATGTGGCTCAGGTGAGGCCACTTCTGCAGCCTTAAAGCGGCAAGTGTTCTGGAATACTCCTCCTTCCCTCGCCTTCAGATTGTTGTAACGCATTCACACATCCTTCCTGAGTCTTCTCTCTGCTCTCTTATTTTACAGTGCCCCAAGGAAAAAAATAGATATAGGCACAAATTGAACGGCTGAAGAAATTGTGGTGTAAATATTTATTTTTTTTTTTTATTTTTTTTTTTAAAGATTTTTTTTTTTTTCCTTTTTCTCCCCAAAGCCCCCCGGTACATAGTTGTGTATTCTTCGTTGTGGGTTCTTCTAGTTGTGGCATGTGGGACGCTGCCTCAGCGTGGTCTGATGAGCAGTGCCATGTCCGCGCCCAGGATTCGAACCAACGAAACACTGGGCCGCCTGCAGCGGAGCGCACGAACTTAACCACTCGGCCACGGGGCCAGCCCCTGTAAATGTTTTTTTTTAAATCATAAATCATGGAATACTAGGTGACCCTATGGGGAAGTTTTTATTTTTTTTCAAACTTGAGTCCTGGTTTATTTTTATCATACATCTCAAACATCATCCAGCTGTTCTCTCAACTACTTCAAACCAAAGATGGAGTTTCTGTTGTCCTGCTGGTTAAGCAAATTTTAGTGAACAGGAATCATCCCTAATCTTACATTGTTTCTTCCCTGCTTAGCCTGTGGGTTGTCTCTTTCCCTGAGCACCTGCGGAGGAGGGGAGTCAGAGGGATGGGACTGAGAGATGCGCAGCAACTGCCGGGGCGAATGCTTCCTAAATTTGTGAAGGCGTTTTTAAAAATCAGTTTATATGGTTTGATTACAATATTTAATAATTTTCTCATATCGTATAATTAATTTATCTTCTAAAGGTACCTAACTTATATTTCAGGAGGAGCTTAAGCATTGTAAGCACATGGCTTATTTTATATGATGTTACAAGTTAAAAATAGAACCTTGGGGGCTGGCCGGATGGTGCAGCAGTTAAGTTTGCAGGTTCTGATTGAGCAGCCCGGGCTTTGCTGGTTTGGGTCCTGGATGCAGACCGACACACTGCTCATCAAGCCATGCTGTGGCAGGCGTCCCACATACAAAGTAGAGGAAGATGGGCACAGATGTTAGCTCGGGGCCAGTCTCCCTCAGCAAAAAGAGAAGAATTGTCAGCAGATTTTAGCTCAGGGCTAATCTTCCTCAAAAAAAAAGAAAGAAAAATAGAACCATGGCAGAGGTGAGGCGGCCTCAGAAATAAAGGATCAATTTCATGATTCTGAGATTTGGTGAAATGCCTCTTTTAACAAATTATGATTTTATTCTAGTAAGATAAAAGTGTATTTGGATTCATATGATTAAATAAATACTGCTAATAGATATTAAAAGTTTGATGCTATTCTCTATCTACTCTACATCTTTGAAAATTAATCAACAATCTTAATCTCAAATCAAGCAACTTTTTAAAATTTTATGTGTCCCTCCCGCATTTACCTTCTGAGATTAACAAACACAGGATTTTGTATGGCGCTTTTTAAAATTATAAAAATAATCATATACTTGAAAGTAAAAACTCAGAAGTTTGAAAAAGGTGTGAAAAGGGAGAGGTGACGCCCTCCTCCCGCTTCGCACCCCGTCTGGCTCCTGTGTTGTCTTCCCGTGGTGCCAGTTCTCCAGAGCGGTTGCTGCCCGTCTGGAACAGTGTGCTCACTCCTGTTCCTTGGTTTCTGTCTTTCCCTGGTGACTCAGGCTGCTGCTTGAAAGATTAGGAGTTCGCCTCTTGTGCCTTTCTCAGCTCTGTTCCTCGTTCTTCCTTTGTCGTCTTGCGATGACTCTGAGCATCACACTTCGAGCTGCACCGATAGCTCCACCGATTTTCAGCAGACGCGTGGCTGCCTAGGACGCAGCTGGGCGCGTGGCTCTGCCCTCCTCCTCTGCCCCTCGCTGACCAGCTGCTCTCCACCACACTGCGTGACAAAATTGATCACGTTCAAGTTCTCTTCTTGAGCTGTGAATATTTTTCATGTTTTCTCTCTTGAATCTAAACACTGAAAACCAATATGCGGCGTTTACAGTATCTGAATTTGTTCACCTCGTTGGTGGCACCGTTTATTCAATGCTGGGTCTCGGCCGGCTGCCGGCTGCCATTGCTGGGTTCTTTTCCTCGCCCTCTTGGTTACTGGTTCCGCTCTCTCCTAAGTTCTCTTTCTGTTTTCCTTTCTCACTGTTGGCTGATGTACGTTTTCCAAAAATTTTTACAGAAAGTGCTTGGGAGATAGGATTCTCTGGGTCCATACATGTTGGAAATGTCCTTTTTTGTGTTGCTTTCTACTTAAATAACTTTAAAATAGCTAATGCAGTAACTTTAAATATAAATTACTATGTATTAACTGAAATTTTTATCACAAAGGAGTAGGTGATTTTATAACAATTTAACCATTTGTCATCTACACTTTTTGGCATTTTTATTAGATCGACAAGAAGAAAGATTAAAAATGCGTGGGGAATGATAGCTGCCTGGAAATTTTAAAAAAATTCTATAGTTTTCTGGGGACGTGTGTAATACAGAAATTTGCAGAGAAATTTTTTTATTATTTCCTATGCATTTTTATTGTTGTTTAGACATTTAAAAAATAAATCCCTCCTATTAATTTTC